CCTTAAAGTCCGCAAAACAGCACCGACATCTCCTTTTTGTTTACGAGAACGAATTGCGGGTGATGTGTCTTGAATAATTACATCTTTCATTTACTTGCAATCCAGTATTTGCCCAATTGTCATATAGTAAAGATAACACCAACTAAAGAAGCCACCACTTAATCTTTTGTCTCACTTCAAATGGAAGTGCCCTAGAGAAAAGGAAATTTGCCCTCTTCCTCAGTGATAACGTCAGGGGTTCTTCTTAGTTGTTTCTAACTTTACGTCTTTCATGTTGCGTTGTTCCTTTTTCAGTGCGCCACAAGTTGATATGAACACTCCTTGTGCGTTCATAATATTGAGGCCGTCCGTTTGATTTCAGGCTTTGGTTTGAAGGTACCTATCTTGATAATCCTGTTGTTCTAAAGACCAGCCCACACTCCGATCGGCCCACCGGGGATTTCCCGGTATCCCGGTGGGTTCATCCAACCCTGGGATTGTTCACATACGTTTTAAATGTAACCCCACAAAAAAAAAGTCTAGTGACGTTAGATCGCAAGATCTAGGCGACCATCCCCATTTCTTGGAAGAAGTTTTACCTTCAAACTGTGTTGTCAATGGTTTTTCTTGCTGTTGCGCCATCTTGTTGGAAATGTGCAGAGATGTGATCCAAAATTTTGGCGAAAGAATTGTGTGCTGTGAGAGAAAAAAAATTGTGTGCTGTGAGAGAACTCGCGGTGGCCATTTGTTGGATATTGTTTTTCACTTATAATTGTGAACGATCATGTTAATTACTGCTAGGTATAAAGTATTATGTTTCCTAGTTTGCTTTTCGTTTGAGGGCCTGTATAGTTCAAATCTCAACCCCCCCCCCCCTTTCCAAAGCACCAGTGATGACGGAGCGGCGTATTGTTTCTTGCCTTGACGTAGGGTGTTTGCACCACAGGTTATGATTTCGCGGGCTTCTGCTTTATGCATACCTACTTGGTTTTACTACATCAATTAACATTCTAAAACAACTCTTTTTTAGATCTTGTTTGCATCTTCCTTTTTACCTATAATGTTAATTAATGTTAAATATTAAATTATATTTTCCATTATAAATTTAAATTTTAAACTGCGACCGCTGGCGCAAACAGCTGAGGACTTAGTTAATGACGTCGGTAATGGTGCTAAACCATATGACATATGACCGTGAATACTAAAAACGAGGCCGATAAGTAATCCATTAGTGTGTATTATGTCAAGGATCGTGAACTAACTAAAGCTGGAGTTTCATGCATCCGTTTTTCCGACGAAAGATGTCCGAAAAACATTCTATTCTGACATAATCGTATAAAAATATGTCAAAATAAAAAAAATTTCGGACATATTTCGTCGGAAAACGGATGCATGAAAATCCGGCCTAAAGCAAAATTAGAAACTAAGGGTACGCACACAAAGAAAGCAGATTAATCAGCGCCTATTTCCGGCGCCGAAAATCAGCGCCTACAAGTCTTCTCTCTCATATTAGTACACAAAGAACGCTGGTTTTCGACCAGTTTAGACGCAACTTACTATAAAGATATGTCTAGTTCATCTTCAGATGAAGACTTTTTATTGAAGGAAGGATACATTCCTGAAGATGATGCAAAGCACGAAGCAAGGTATACATCCAATGAATCGTAAATGAAAAGTTTATGGTGAATATCACCATTTATTCCTTCTGCACTATATTCCTGTTGCTGTGGGACTTAAGAAGTCGTTTGTCGTTAATTTTTCGCCAATTTTAAATGTAGAAGACCTGATTTTAACAAGATTAGGTATAACATTTAGGAATTAATTTTTTATGACCTATAGTGTTTTACGCCACGAGTTGAGGTCTGCGGCTGAAATGCGCGCGCAAATGCTTCAAGTGTCCGTGTTCCAGCCGTACCGCGCTTCGAGAACTGCTAACTTTTGCGTTTCAAACACAGAACACTGTGCTGCACCGTGCTTGAAGCACAAAGCTGGAAAGCGGCTTAGGTGTGTTCTTGATCCTTGGTAAATATCACAGCTGCTTACGGAAACTATGATCGGGTAAACCCGATCACAAGAATTACCAATCTCGCCGTACGGAAAGGGATCTAGGATCAGTTCACTCTATGCAGAAAGTGATCGGGTTGTTCGGTTCAGTATCATATGTGAGATGATAAAATGCGGGCTTGAACTAGTGCGTAGTGCGGTACTAGTGCTGAATAACAGAAGCTGTGTAAAAGCAAGATACAAATGCAGGCCCTGCAAGTCTGACATTTTGTATTACAGAAGCAGAATGTATGCAAGTCGACTGCAAATTTGCGCATGGCGAAACGGTCCCGTAAGTTCTTGCAGTCACTTTGACAACTTTGACATTTCAAACTATTAAGGGCGGGTATTATAAAACTACTTTGAGAGTTAACTTAAAGTTAACTTCTGAAAATACATGTAATTCAAAAAGTTAACTTCAAATTAACTGTCAAAGCAGTTTTATAATACCCGCCCTAAATTTAGCGCCCAAACACTTTTTTCTATAGATATGACGGAGTTGCAGATTTTTTCTGTAATTTGCTCGTTTCTGCAAATAGAGCACATGCAAGTCGGCCATATTTGCAGAACTGCAAATTTGCAGATGCAAATATACTGTAATTGAGCCCCTGTTGTATTCCTTTCACATCTAGGAGGAGCTGCGGCAGAGGTTATTCTAAGGATTTTTTTCCACTGCACACAGGAGTGAAGCTATGATGACGTATGAAATAGATGCTGATAAGCTATCAGTGATAAATCCATTCACGGATTTAGTATTGTCAAACACAGTAGATATTGAAGGGGTTCGTCGTATTTTAGGGAAAGATCCTTATGACGAAAAACTAGAACATCCATAAATAGAAAAATTGCAGAAACTGACGCTTTCTGAATTCTGAGTTGGTTAACTTTTTAACCAGTTCTTCGAAATTCCTCAATGCATCTAAAATTTTCGAACGGGTCTTGAATGCCAAATCACATAAGGCCGATTTCTCAATAGCAAGTGACCCCGGCGGGTTGAGCATAATTCCAGGGTAAACATTGCAATTGAACACGTTTACCCTGGAGTTAAAACCAGCCCGGAGGTGACTCGTTATTGAGAAACCAATCCATAGTGCGATTATGGAAAGACTTATAATATAAGTATCAGCAATACATAAAGCCTATCCCGAAGTAGCTTGTCCGTAGATTCTGGTAACGAATGTGATCTTCGACAAGCCACTGTGGTTTGGTTGAATAAGCGTCCGCACAGAGTCTAGGAAACTGTAGTACAGGCCAAGCAAGAAAGATGGTACAAAGGTATTTATGCTGAAGCCATTGCTAACGATGAAGATGGACAAGCGGAGAGTTTGGAGATGGTTTTGAGGGAAAAAATAGCAAGAAATGTATTGATAGTGGCGATAGTGCTATTATTGTATTCTCATAAAGTCTGTTTTTTTTTTAAAGATAAATTCCCCAAGTCAAAAATTTAGTAACTATGTTGGCAACACAAGCCTTTTCTACATAAAAAGTTTGAAAGCATTGACAATTTTACATTGGGGCGAGTTCAGGAATGACGCACCCAGTGTGAGTGTGACACCGGTGCGACGCCCTAGCTGTTGAAAAATGCTAGACAATGCTATGGGCCCAATGGCCAACTGTCAATTCAGGCACACCCATGAAATCGCACTCGCACCCTGTGCGTTATTTCTGAACTCGGCCTTGTATTGCCAACATAATGTCATTTTGACTTTTATCTTTGAAAAAAAAACAAAAAATATGTAGAATATTATGTCAACTATATTATTTTTAGTTTGTTCTGTTTTAAGTTTTTTGTTCGTAATAAATGAAAAAATAACTACACAGATTTCAATTTCCCACTGCACAATATAATTTTCCTACTGCACATTTTGTGTCCAACTGCACGGAATAACCTCTGAGCTCCGGAACAGCTCCGGGGCTTCACGCGTTTATTCCTTTCGAAAAGTGTTTGTTGCACCACGCATCTGCAAATCGGAGGCTACTAAACACCGGAGCGAGTAGCTCGAGTGTTTCAAACTCTTCTTTCGTGCAGGTTTTCGAAATTTGGCATGCGACACTTTTTGCTTCGAGCGGAATGAGCTCCGCGCGTGCCCGTCGAGGCTCCTAGCTGCTCGGAGCAAGCAGAAACCTCTTTCAGGAGCCGCTTTCCAGTATGGGAGTGTGACGCCCGGAGCTACTCGGGGCGTTGAGCTCCCGAGCTGTACGTACGCGTCAACCTATCAGCTGTCACATCCGTGGGTGGCTATTTAAAATCTGTTTTTTTTTAAAGATAAAACTCAAAATGACATTATGTTGGCAATATAATGTAAAATTGTCAATGCTTTCAAATTTTTTATGTAGAAAAGGCTTGCGTTGCCAACATAGTTACTAAATTTTTGACTTGGGGAATTATCTTTAAAAAAAAAACGAACTTTATCTATTTATTTCTTGTTATATCTCAAGATTGAACATTTTAAAATATATAGTTTTGATTTTCTTTCATTTTTGATAAATAAAAAAACAAACTGCACAAACAAACAGATAATTATTTTTAAACTTTGACATATTTGACACTAAGACAGGCGTCTCACGCCATGATACTGGAACGGTACAAATCTAGTGCGTGGCGCCCCCGAGGTGCTCTAGAGCGCGCCAATGTGCATACTGAGCCGCTTTCCAGTGCCTAAATTGTTAGAGTATCATGCTCCTGAAGTGTAACGCTCTTGAACTGTTCGACATAAGCAGCACTGGAACGTTCTCGTCTTAACCCCCACCATTTCGGATTTCAGGAGCATGAAACACAGACAAAAGGGTTGGTGCACGAGGGGGCAGGGGATAACAGAAATGAGTAGCTCAAGTGTACTACACTCTAAGCACTGGCACGCGCAAAGCAATTGTGGAGCACTCCTGAGCTGCTCAGGAGTAACTCAAATGGGTCACTGGAAAGCACCTCACAGGAATGTGCTATAATGTCTGTCACTGTCACTAGTCAACTAGTTGTCTGTCTGTTGTCTTGTCATTTGTTTCTTGTTCCAATGTTCATTTCTACTTCATTGACCATTTCCATGATTTCTACTTAACAAAAGGAATTTTATTTGTTAGTTTTGTGTCCATACCCAGCAGAAATTATCGCATTTTTGATTGTGCAAAATTAGATTATCAAGTTGCCGTTCCTTTTCGATATACAGGCTCAATAAAAGTCCAGAATGTCCAAACGCCGAATCGAGGTAGCAGACCCCTTTTTGAAGAAAAAAAGGTAAAGAAAAGGTTTTTGACTATTATTTCTATATAAAAATACTCAATATGTTCAATGCCTCTAATTTATTAATGTTGTGCATTATTTTTGAAAGCATTGTGCTAGTGATAACCTAAAAAAATACATTATCAATAATTTTTTTATAGAGAGGAAAAATTAGCATTAGGAATAGGAACTAGTAGTACAGCTCCTGTATCTGCCTCAATGAACCCATATACAGGTCTACCATATACCCAGCGCTATCATGAATTGTTCAGGAAAAGAATCGGTTTGCCAGTATTTGAATATCGTGCCGATTTTATGAGGCTTTTAGCGGAGCATCAGTGCATAGTCCTAGTGGGTGAAACTGGTTCCGGAAAAACTACACAAATTCCACAATGGTGTGTGGAATATGCCAGAAGTATGGGCAAAAAGGGTGTATGTTGTACCCAACCCAGAAGAGTGGCTGCTATGTCTGTCGCTCAGAGAGTTTCAGAAGAAATGGATGTTGCTCTAGGGCAAGAAGTTGGTTATAGTATTCGTTTCGAAGATTGTTCTTCAGCTAAAACAATTTTGAAGTAAGTAACATAATGAATTGCTTTTCCATTATTATGGAGATCTTCCATGATCTAATAATTATACCAACTAGGTCTATAAACCAAGCAGCCCCAAGGTGGAAAAAAAACTTCGGGAACTATATAATAATTAGGTGCTTTTTAGGTGCTAATTAGGGCCTCTAATTAAAAATTAGGTGCTCCTTTAGTTTTTGAGAAAATCAAAAAAAAACTACGGGACTGCTAGGTTTATAAAACCTAGTAGTCCCTTATAGTAAAAAACTCTGTAAAAAATATTTTTTCAAATTTTTTCTTTGTATCAGAATTAGGTGCTTTTTAGGTGCTCCTAAATAGTCCAAGAAAAAATAGAATTGATTAATTATTAACTGAGTTACAGATTTTTTTTTAATTATTAGGGGACTGCTGGCTTTATGTTCACATGCTGGTGTGTCAGAATGGCAAAAAAACTTCGGGATCTATATAATTATTAGGTGCTTTTTAGGTGCTAATTAGGGCTTCTAATTGAAAATTAGGTGCTCCTTAAGTTTTTGAGAAAATCAAGAAAAACTAAGGGACCGCTAGGTTTATAAATGCTAGCAGTCCCCTATAGTAACAAATTTTCTTGAAATTTTTGATTTTCTCAAAAACTAAAGGAGCACCTAATTTTTAATTAAAGGCCCTAATTAGCACCTAAAAAGCACCTAATTATTATATAGTTCCCGAAGTTTTTTTCCACCTTGGGACTGCTAGGTTTATAGACCTATACCAACTTACACAAATACATTGAAAAATTATAGTTCTAATAACTTTTTTCAATGTACAAAAATGTTGCTTTGTGGATCTAATTTTATATTAAGTACCAAAATTTTGCATTTTTTTTTTATCAAATGAATGCCAAAAAGTTGTCTTTTTTCTATGTCCACAAAATGCTAATGACGTGTTTCTTGCAAAGTTGAGATCTATTCCAAGTTGTTAACCTACCTTAGGCTTTTTTCCCATCTTGATTATTGCTGCCAATATACCAATCACCTAGCAGCTAATCTCATCAACATTAAAACTGCATGTCTATTGTATTCAAAAACTCCTATTTTTAAAGATGCGAGGTGTTCATAATTATTTTTTCATTTTCAAATTTACTTTTATCTAGGTACATGACAGATGGTATGTTACTGAGAGAAGGAATGAGTGATCCCATGCTTGATTCTTACCAATGCATTCTTCTTGATGAAGCTCACGAAAGAACTTTGGCAACAGACATATTGATGGGTGTATTAAAAGAAGTTATTAAACAGCGTAACGACTTGAAATTGGTTATTATGTCAGCTACATTGGATGCTGGCAAATTTCAACAATATTTTGACAACGCCCCATTGATGAACGTGCCTGGACGTACCCATCCTGTAGAGATATTTTATACACCAGAACCGGAACGCGACTATTTGGAAGCTGCTATTCGGACTGTGATTCAAATTCATATGTGTGAAGAAATCGCCGGTAAGTTTAATGTTGTCGTTTTATTTTTTTTTATTTTTTTTTTCTATCCAATTATCAAGAGAAACTATCGTAAATGAGTTTAAAATTGCTGCGAAGCCGAAAACTGCATTACAACAATGTTTTCCGAATGTTTCCATTTCTTTTCAATCAAAATAAATCGACCTAAATTGAAGCTCAGAGGCATGAAATAAATTTGAGATCATGGGATAATTTTGATATCCCCACGGTCTGGTCTGTACAGGGTGGTCCAAATCGGACACTTCCTTATGGAAATACCCTTTATTTTTAGAGATAGAGAAAAATGGACCCCCCACTCTGAGGCTCAAATTTCATGAAATCTTGATTTGATTTTGAATTGATTGATATCTTCAACCATTTAGCCGCTAGAGGGCGATTGTCGAGTTTGAGCAATACTGTGAAGCCTCCATAACTTTCTTGTTTATGAAAATAATTCATTTCCGTGAGGACTTTCTAGAAGCACTTTTTCAAGCAGAATTTAGTGGCGTTCTCATTTTTTTCCTGTTTGGCTTGGATTTATTGACCAAAATCCGATTTTTTTCAATAGGACACCCTATATATTAATAGCTCATTAGAATGCTATGCTTTTGCTGATTGCAATGATATAAAGTTTGATCTCTAACGGTTTTCGAGAAAAAAAAAGTATTTCGGTTTTTGTCATAAAAAACAATATGTTGGAGAAGGACTTGGTCTCTGTAAGGAAACTGAAAAAGGTCTCTTTCTAACACATTGTTTCTTATGACAAAAACTGAAATATTTTTTCTCGAAAACTGTTGTGAATAGACCTATTGAACTTTGTATCCAAGTTTATATTATCGAAATCAGCAAAAGCAGATTTTTCCAATAAGCTAATAATATACAGTGTGATTTTTTAAGTGTGCAACATATGGGGATTTTTTTTAGTAATAGCACAACCCAAATACAAACAAGGCCAAAAGTTGGTGCATGTCTGATAATCATATTAGGTACACTTAGAATGGTTGCAAGTCAAACAGCATACAGGGTAGCTCAAACAAGTACCCTTATTTTAGAAAATTCAGCAAAATGTTATAGAGAAAAGTTGTTTGGAATTAAAAGTTATGCCTAAATACCAAAACGTAGCCTCCTAAGATTTTTTTTATTTTCTTTTGAAAAAAATCTATAATTTCTATATTTTTTTTATTTTTTATTTCCGCCCTTAATACTTTCAAAAATTAATTAAAATCAAATCAATTTTACATAACTTTGTCCAAATTCAAGCATATTTGTAAAATTAACTTAGATTTTTAACTTTTTCTGGAATCACAACATTCATATGTGTTGCAATGATATTCAACACAACTTTAAAATGTCGCAATTTTTTTTTTTAACAAGTTGAAACATTACTAATGATAATAGCCATATTAAAAAAACTCTCCTTAAAGTGCAAAAGTTTTATTTTATTTAAGTAAATATTAGTAGAATTTTGATATTTTTTGAGCCACCCTGTATGCTGTTTGACTTGCAACCATTCTGAGTGCACCTAATATGATTATCAGACATGCACCAACTTTTGGCCTTGTTTGTATTTTGATTGTGCAATTACTAAAAAAAAATCCCATATGTTGCACACTTAAGTAATGACACTGTATAGGGTGTCCTATTGAAAAAAATTGGATTTTTGGATACCTTGAAATCGGAGCCAAATAAAAAAAAACTAAGAAAGTCACTGAATTCTGCTTGAAAAAGTGCTTTTAGAAAGTCTTTACGGAAATGAATTATTTCCATAAACAAAAAAGTTATGGAGGTTTCACAGTATTACCTCCTACCAGCTATACAGTTGAAGATATCGAAGTGCGCTTTGCAACAATCAAGATTTCATGAGATTTAAGCCTCAGAGTGGGGGGTTCACAAAAATAAAGGGTGCTTCCATAAGAAAGTGTCTTGTGAATTTAACCAGTTAGCAACTAATATCAAAGGCTTTGAACAAATTAATACTTTTAGAGCCAAATTATGGACCGACTGGTAACGTCTTTGGCAAATTTATCCTGCTGGTAAAACTTAAAATTGAATGCAATGATGTTACTAAGTTGATTCATAATTTGGCTCTTGAAAGAAAACTTTGACAATGTATAGGGTAGTCCAAAAATAAAATGGAATTTAGTTTATGAGCTGTAACTTTTTTGTTGTTGACCAATTTCCTTTGGTTTAGGTTTGTTTAAAAGAGAAATGAACAGGCTTACGAAGCAAAGTGAAACTTTTGACATTTGAGAAAAATTCAAAATGGCGGACTTCTTCATAAATTATTATTATTATTATGGTACAATTTTTTCTTTTTTTCATTTATTTATTTATAACTGACTCTAAAATAGTGAGAATCACTGGTACCAGATCCTCAATATACAATCATATTATAATAATAAGTAGATATAAAGTGTGGTAATAAATTACAGTTTTCAGCTTAATTATATATTCATTCACACTGCAAATATAATTTCAAATTTTGAGTAAATTGTTTCATTGTCCTCATTTCCACAACTGTCTTTGGTATAGTGTTATAAGTTTGTATACTGCTATACAATGGAGATCTTTGCGTTTTTAAGGTTCATGAATAATTTGTTCTGAAGTCACTTGCACCTTGGATATCATGGTCATGTAGCTGTTTTACTTGCTTAACATTTAAATTGGTTTTTGGAAGTGTATTTTTTAGGCAATACATAAATTTTGTTCGTGTTTGTTTTATACACAAGTTCGGTTGGAGTGAGCCGGTCTAAATTGAAGATGGTTTTTATTGTTTTATTTTGTGTCCTTTGTAGTTTATTTAATACATACTTTGTACTTCTTTGAGTTTTACACTATCAAGAAAAGTATATTGTGTATTTAGGTGGAAAAGTGACACATTCTCCGCCGACGGTGTAAGTTGACGGCCGAGGCCGACAAACACCGAAGGCCGAGAATGTGATTTTCCACCGAAATACACATACTATTTTTTCTGCGATCGGTTAAATACCTGTTAAATGTTTGTCTTTTAGTTCCAATTATTCAGCAATACGAGAATCACTTTCCCGGCCTAGGCCGGAAAAGTGTTTCCCGTATTGTTATTCATTGATTCCTTAGCAACTATTGAAACATAATTGAAATACCAGAATATTGAGTTTTGCGACCTGTCAACCGGTCAAAAATGCTGACATTTCTTGTCAATCGCAGAAAAACAAGTTTATATCACCTCTTTGCTTGTTTTTTTGTTTAATAATCATACATACAGTCTTGTTTTTAATTACAGATAGCTTATTGTAGCACAACCATGAATGATAAAGATCCAACTCATCATTTGCTAATTTTTATAGCCCTTTTAAACATTTAGCTGACAGAACCAAGATAGTGTCATCAGCAAATACAAAATATTTTGCTTTCAGTCCCAAATATTTAAGGTTCTGTGTGTACAGCAAATATTGCAAAGGCTCAAGAGTTCAAGCACTGACCCCTAGGCAACACTGATGACACTTAGTTCCTTTTTTCCTCTTTCTGATTCGTTAAATTTTGTATAGTGATTTCGGCCTATAGAAGTTGTTTGAAGGAGTTTATGTGCAGTTTCTCAAAATCCCATCTCATTGACTCATTGCAGTCTTTTTCTTTAAACGTTTGGTTTGTAATGGGATTTGTGTTCAAAGCTAGGTTTTGGCCAACTTTCGAAAAGTATGTGTTGAATTCTTCTGCTATTTTTGTTCATTTCTGAGAGTCTCTCCTGTCACATCCTTTATTCGAGTTACTTTTGCACCCTTTGTTTTTCTTGAGCAAAGATTGTTTAGTACGTTCCACATTTTTTTTGAATTTGCTCCAGCCTCATCAATTTTTTTTTTCATCATAGTCCTTTAATTTCCTCCTTAAGTTGTTCACCTCATTCTTTAATATTTTAAAATGTCTTTCAGTTTCTAAATTTTTTACCAATTTCCATCTTTTATAGAAATTATCTCTTTGTTCGATTTTTTTGATAAATTCTGCACTTATCCAGTAGTTATTACTATGTATTTTTTTGTTGTGCTCTGTCGTGGATTCAGCTTTTGCTTTTGCTATTATTTCTGATAATTTGCTAAATGATGTGATTTCATTTAGTTGCAGTTTTTGTTGTACGGATTCTTCCCATTTTTGTGTGTGTAATTTGGATTTCTTAATGTAGTCTTTAGTGTTTTTGGTAACTTTTCTATTTAGCTTTATATACATGATTTTGTGATCTGCTACTATATGATCTGCAACACTGATCATGCAGTTCAATTCTTTATTTATCAAGACATGATCCAGTACGGTGGCTGTGGTATCTGTATTCTTTGTGGCATTTTCAGGTGTGAGAATATTTTGTATTTTAAATTCATTCATTTCAGCAACATTCTTATACTTTCAACTGCATCAGATTCACAAAGTAGATTTAGGTTTATGTCTCCAATAATAATACAGGGTGTTTTTTGAGCTTTCATTGTACTATATATGTCCTGTGGGTAAGGTAAATACTTACTACATTGCAGTCACTTGCTCTTATTTTTGAGATGACTTTAATCTCATAATCTAGATTTTCCCTGACGAACAATCATACCCCTCCACCTCTTGAGTCCCTACAGTGATGCACAGCACTGTAGTTAGGGTGACTAAAATACTGTATCTCATTTTGATAGATCCATGTCTCCGTCAGAGCAATAATGTGTATTTCTTGTTCTTGTTTATGTATGATTTCCTTATGATCCTCAACCTTGTTTCTCAGACTTCTTATATTTATATATAGAATATTAAGTTTAGTATCCATTTTAGATTTTATTTTTATTTATTTTTTTGTCTCTTTTTTTTTTTGTAATAGTAATACTTTACACTGATCAAACTTTTGAATTACTTGTAAGTTTATTGTGGTGTTTTTGATAAGTTATTGTCCATAATGAATATCCACTTGGAATAATGCACTCATATCGGTGTCAACCTTATTCTTGAAAGAAATCAAACTCTGTGCTGTGACTATAGAATTTGACAGACTGTTCCCTGGGTAGACAATTCGATTTGCAGCGAAGTTCGTTCTTGGATGCTTGGCTCTTGGCGGTTTTTTCCTTGCACAACTTCAAAGTATGACCTCATAGATGGGTGTTGTCATTGAAGATAAAGATGTCGAGGTTACAGGAGTAGCCATTTCGAATAATCTTGTATGTCTCGATCAGATCTCCTCTCAGACGCCTTTCTCTCAAAGAAGTGAGTCCTAAAGTGGATAGTCGAATAAGGTAATCTTCATTACCTAGCTTTGAATAGCGCTCGAACTTTTTTGTGACCTCCTGCCAAAGTTAGGCAATTCTCAAAGTTCATTATTTTGTGTACATTTTAAGACCTACATAAGAAAAATCGGTTGAAAACTAAGTGAAATATTGAAATTTTTGTAAAATCCAATTTCACCTTTTCATATCCAATGGTAGATAATTTTTAATAAAAGCTACATATCTCTGGTTCCTTATTCTTGAAATAGGGGAGCAGCGTGCCCAGGAGAACGAGTGTTCTGTCTTTGTTACTTATATTATCATTTGCATATCATTGAGAAAAACAGAACACTCGTTCACCTGAGAACGCTGCTCCCCTGTTTCAAGAATAAGGACCCTGGGATTTTGGGTAGATTATTATAATAATTTTTACACTTCCACCGTTTCAATTACATCTGATATTTACGACGCAACGCATTCCTACTTTGACCAAAATATTTCAATCTATGAGATTTATGGTTCCCTTAACCAAACGAAAAACGAATAAAGCATGTGGCCATGACTTAATATCAAACGAATTTTATAAACATATGACCTGCTTAATTCGTCGACTATAAAAAAGTTTTTGATGGTGTGCAGCGTGCAGCATAACATATTATGTCAAAAACGTCACTTGGCCGGGATAAGTTCAAAAGTATTAAGACTTTTATCTAATATCTATAAAAATGCCTTGTTACTGTTACACAGCGAAAGCACCACAAAGCTAATTAAAATAAGTAAAGGAGTTTTACAGGGCGACTCCGTTAAGCCCCACCCTTTTTTCAATATTGATTTACGAAATAGAAAGCTTTTTTCACCTAAACGAATGCTACGGTATCTCTCTAGACTCTCTTACAAATATAAGTATGCTACTACAGGGCAGCACTAACTCAACCATCTAGGGGAGGTGGGACCAACCAACCAAGGTCGAGTGATACCTGTTTTAAAAGTGCGTTCAATTGACTTTCAAATGAAAGAGAATTGAACGCTCTTTCAAAACAGGTATCACTCGACCCCTTGTTCCATTTGAAATAGTAAGGATTGGTCCCACCCCGCCTAGAGGGTTAAAGTGGAAGTGCTAAAAATAGTTGCAGAAAACTTCCCCCTTTGTAAACCAAATTACGTGTACAAGCGATTTTTTTAAAAAATAAACGTGGCATCAGATATTTAGCCTGTTTCGTTTGTAATGGTACACCCTGTATATTGTGATGACATTGTTTTTTTGTCCGACTCTGGGATTCAACTGAGAAAGATTTTGTTTCTTTTTGGAAATTTTAGTGACCAAGTGAGGCTATCAGTAAACGTGAATAAAACCAAAATCATTGTTTTTAGAAGGAGTAATCGCTTAAAAAAATATACAGAATTTTATTACAAGAAGGAAAAAGTAGAAATTGTTAACTCTTACAGGTATCTTTAGGTGATTTTCAATTTTGATTTGTCATTTTGCAAAAACTTTTCCGAAAAAATATTCAAAAACTCTAGTTTCACAGGGAATTATTTTAAACACAATACGGGTGATTCAAAAGTGAGCGGTAACCTTTCGGGGGCGTCTTCCTTGCATAAAAATAAGACAAAAAGTTCCTATTAACATGGGTCCGGAAATGCTTCCTAAGGGAGCTACGCCCCTTCGAATAGGACACCTGAAAGACGTGTTTTTCTGTATAACTTTGAAACCCTTCACAAATGGATTTTGAAAATTGGTGTATTTTATTATAAACATTTGATGGCAATTAAGATACTAAATTGAAAATTCAAAAATCTTAATCAGTGTCACATACTGGGGAGGGTGAAAACATCTCTATTTTTTTTTACTCGTCAGGTTTTTGCGAAACATACGCAAATCAAAAAATTTTCAAAGTCAATTTTCTCGTAAACGGTACGCTGTATCGAATTGAACCAAGAGTACCTTTTCTGTGGAAAAAACTGTAAACTTTCTGAATTTTCAATCAGAATCGCAAAAACCTGAAGAGTAAAAAAAATAGGGATGTTTTAACCCTCACCCTCCCCAGTATGTGACGCCACTGATTAAGATTTTTGAATTTTCAATTTAGTATCTTAATTGCCATCAAATGTTTATAAAATACACCAATTGTCAAAATCCATTTGTGAAGGGTTTTAAAGTTATAGAGAAAAATACGTCTTTCAGGTGTCCTATTTGAAGGGGCGTAACTCCCTTAGGAAGCATTTCCGGACCCATGTTAATAGGAACTTTTTGTCTTATTTTTATGCAAGGAATACGCCCCCGAAAGGTTGCCGCTTACTTTTGAATCACCCGTATTTAATAAATAAATAAATAAACACGATTAACACCAATAAAATTACTTCTTGGGATAGTCTTCTGAAGTTGCATCATTCGGTGATAATTCCAACTGCTTTATATTCTAGCTCTCTTTGGGGCCTCTATATACGTTAGAAAATTCTGAATTTATTCAAAACACATACTTATTTTAAAAATGTTTTGTATTTATAAAAAACAACCCCGGGATATATCATACGTTGCGAGCTGAAAGTACCAAGATAAGCATATTTTGTCCAAAGATTGCAATCTTTTCTTAGGGAAATGTTGGGCTTCCACTACTCCCTAGACCACTCAAATAATATGAAAGATGCTGAATACTTGCTCGAAAAATATGTTCTTTATTCACAAACTCAAGACTGGAATAGAATCTTGCTTAGTAATGGACTTTTTTTATCAAAATATATCCAAAGTAGTCTAAAAATGTGCATTCAACAAAGAAACAACCTAACACCAACTCAGATAAACAGGTTCACTGTAAACCTGTTTATCTGAGTTGGTGTGCTCTCGCTTATATTGATTGGATTGACAACAGCTCATAAGCTCAAAACCGGTGTGAAATCTAGACATGACCAGAGCAACGCAAACTCATTGTATGAGTTAAAATTATTAGAAGTGTGTTTGGCGCTGGGGCTGAACACTTGTGTTTTTCCAAAGATAAACTTCAACTTCTTCGTTTAAATTCCACACACTCAGTAATTTTTTGATTTTGAATTGTTTTTCTTCAAAATTCTAATTACAACATAACCAATTATGCACCCCAGATGTTTCTGTATTTGAATTTAATAATTTTTTTTTTAAACTTAACATGGTTCATTGATCAATCAGATTCTGTCTATTTTGAGTACACAAAATCCTTTCGGAAATTTCAGCCATTCTGATTAGATAGAGAGTTTGGCTTTCCTTTTCACACCATTCATGTACTATGCAAATTTCCACATGGTTTTATCAATAAGAACGTTATAAAGCCAACAATTTGTTTTATTTAGGTGACGTTTTACTATTTTTGACTGGACAAGAAGAAATAGAAGTGGCATGCAAAAGAATCAAAAGAGAAATCGATAACCTGGGACCTGAAGTAGGTGAACTAAAGTGCATCCCACTTTATTCCACTTTACCTCCCAATCTTCAGCAAAGAATTTTCGAAGAGGCTCCACCAAATAAATCTAACGGTGCCATTGGCCGAAAAGTTGTCGTTTCCACAAATATCGCTGAAACCTCTCTGACTATCGATGGTGTAGTGTTTGTGATCGATCCAGGATTTGCCAAACAAAAAGTTTACAATCCAAGGATTCGAGTTGAATCTTTATTGGTTTCGCCAATTAGTAAGGCATCTGCTCAGCAGCGAGCTGGACGTGCAGGAAGAACCAAACCTGGAAAGTGCTTTAGATTATACACAGAAAAGGCTTTCAAGAATGAAATGCAAGATAATACATATCCTGAAATCTTGAGGTAATAAAAATTCTTAAGTTTCAGACAGGCTTTATAAGTTACTTGTCTATTTTAGATCAAATTTGGGTTCTGTTGTGTTGCAACTTAAGAAACTGGGTATTGATGACTTGGTACATTTTGATTTTATGGATCCCCCAGCCCCGGAAACTTTAATGAGAGCATTGGAGCTTTTGAATTATTTAGCTGCTCTCGATGATGATGGAAACCTTACAGATTTAGGAGCAGTCATGGCAGAATTTCCATTGGATCCTCAGCTAGCTAAAATGCTGATAGCCAGTTGCAACCACAATTGTTCCAATGAAATATTATCAGTAACTGCTATGTTATCAGGTATTTACTTATTTTAACTGTTTTTTTGTTTTAATTTATTTTATAGTATTTATAATGACATTAAGTTGATTGTCTTGTAATACCAGGCGGATGTTTGTGGAAACTCCTTAAATTTTCAACTAAGTTTTTTGTCTTGTTGAAACAAACCTGGTTCTTTCTGTAACAATCAAAAAATTAAATTTACACTACCTAGTCTAACCAAAACTTAAACCTTTTTTAACATATATTTAGAAGTAAACCTTAAAATATATGCTAAAAAGGGTTCTAATTAAGGGTAGCTCTGTAGGATCTATATGAGTACGAGCACAACTATATCTTTTGGATTCGGGCACGCGCCCTGCTCCAATATTTAGTCCCACAGTGTTTCGTCAGACCGAATGAGGCAAAGAAAGCGGCAGACGATGCCAAGATGAGGTTTGCCCATATCGACGGGGACCATCTTACTTTGCTCAATGTTTATCATGCTTTCAAACAGAGTAAGTACCTGAAATTTTTTATAATAATAATTTAAATAATATAGTGTAGTGTTCATTGATTCGTTCAAAAGTATGACAAATTTATAAGACAGACTCCAGACTAAAAGAAACTGATTTTGCTCTTGAAATTTAAGCAGTAAATGTATTTCGAATTGAAGTATCCTCTGCAGTTATGTTAAAAAGATTTTTGAATATCCAGCCAATACAAGATGTACTTTCCGACAAGTGATGCCACTGGATAGTTGATTTATGAAGCTACTGACTGATGCTATTTAAAATCAATTAAAAATTAATGATAGAATTGCTATTCCAGTAATGTTCTCTATATTTTGACATTTCCATAATGATCTTATCTTCCCCAGGGTACCTTTTGGAGTTGTAATTTCTAGGGCACTTTTTTGTTTAGGCTGTTTTTATTTTGGAAACACTGGAACCCACATATTTTCAGATTTCGAACCTATATTTTTTGCATTGAAAGAATCGAATATACAAAAAACTTTAGCATCTTTATTATAAATTGTAAAAATAATAATACACATAGAGAAAATTCTTTGTAATGAAAAAGTAAGTTTCGCTTACATATTTTTAACAGAGGTACGCGTGCTGCGTTTGATTACGCCAATTTTAGAATGTTTCAAAATCTGAACAATTTAATAGGTATGGAAGACCCTCAGTGGTGCTATGACAACTTTGTAAACTACCGTTCACTGAAATCCGCAGACAACGTCAGACAGCAATTATCTCGTATCATGGACCGATTTAACCTAAAAAGAACATCAACAGATTTCACCAGCAAGGACTACTACATTAATATAAGAAAAGCCCTTGTCAATGGATTTTTCATGCAGGTACAATCAATACATTATACATTTTTTAACAATTTTTAATAATTCTTGACGATTCTCAGGTGGCACATTTAGAAAGGACAGGGCATTATTTAACAATCAAGGATAATCAAATTGTACAACTACATCCGTCGACATGTTTGGATCACAAGCCAGAGTGGGTTATCTATAATGAATTTGTGTTAACTACTAAAAATTATATCAGGACTGTCACCGATATAAAACGTAAGTTACTTTTAGTTTAGATTTGAAAATTTCCTAATAGGTATTTTTTATTTCTCCTAGCCGATTGGTTACTAAAAATCGCGCCCCAATATTACGACCTCAACAATTTTCCACAATGCGAAGCAAAACGACAGCTGGAAATTTTACAGAATCGGTTAGATTCTAGACAGTTCCAACAAGGATTTTAAAATATTTGAATTCCATTAAGTAATACTATAATAATTTAAGTTTTTTCTTATGTTTACACTTTGTAATGCAATGTGGATGTTTTTGTGTACACCTGTCATGATTTTTTTAAAAATATTTTTTCAATAATAGAGTTTCATAGGTTAACAGATATTTAATTGAATTTCAATATATCTATGTATAGATACCCTTATAATTGGTTGATTTATTTCTCTTAATTCCTTATACATTTTCTTTCTTTTTCTGGTTCTAACTATACTATGCTACATTGGCTATCGTCATTAAGGCTGAATAATAATTATAATAATAATAATTAAAGCTTTGGAAAAATCCTCAAATTAGAAGGCTCCTGGAATAGACGGCATGGAAAACTTCTGGCTTAAAAGTCTCTACTTTACACAAACACTGAGTAGCTTGCTATAATAGGTTATATAATAGATTAATTAATGGAGAAGAAAGAATCCCTGAGTGGTTGGTAAAGGGGAACTGCATATTTCATTTAAAAATAATTGAGCCAAGCATAAGTGGACCACAAAAGCCTTCGACAGCGTGCTGCATAGCTGACTCGAAATATACTACCCTATTCTCAAATTTCTTCAAGCTGCAATGGGAGAGTGGAGATTGGATATTTAAAATAAAAAAAAGATCATATAAGGGTTACAAACCTACAAATAAAAAAGAGCATTTTCCAAAAAGATTCCTTACCCCTCAGTACAGGGTGGCTGAAATCGGAGCCTCATCATCATTGGGATTTCGGAAACGGTAAGAGATACAGGGTCGGTTAAAGTATGGCAAAGCTGCGCATTTCGATGCTTAACAAAATGCTGTTCTAAAATTTCAGAAATTCCTAATACTTCCGGAAATATCTGGAAAATTACGAAAATTGCGATTCTGGTTTTTATTTTTTCCTGGCTTTATTTTGAGAGATCAAGAAAAATCGAGATAACTTTCTCGAAGCACTTTTGGGTGGACTTTACTGTGTTGATATTATTCTAGAAATTCGACGTTTCGGTATCCCAAAGCCATCATCAACCTATTTTTTTCTAATGCAGAACCTAAAATACGTCATATAACATGAATGAAGTCAGTTCGGGATCATTTTGAGGATCAAAGAAAGTCATCGGCTACGGAAGTTAAGGAAATTAAAAGATCATTCTATAAACCCTAACAAGGGCGTGTCCGATGAGTTGCCGTGTGTTGGTGAACCCTCTCAGATACCTCTGCCTCTGAGTGTGGATTGTAGAGAGACATCTGAATCAATGTCTAGATCAAAGGGAGAAATTCTGCAGGGGTTGAACGCACAGACAGAAATTATTGAATCCTATTTATCGCGGGTTGTCGACAACATAGATTTCAGACTGATGGGGGACCATCAAATGCTTTCCATCAGCGAATTTTACAAGGGATTGGTCGTTAGCGGGTTGCAAGGGCAAGCGGTAATATGGTAATACATTATCTGTTAAAAGTTCCAATCCTATAGAGACAAAAACCTACAGGGCCCCCCTGGGTACCTCCCAGTTGACTGAAAGCTGCCAACAAAAGTGTTAAAGGTACTAACGAGAATAACATACAATCCACTCAACAGCCAAGGCTCGTGCTACCCAACACCAACCCGCGTTTAGGTTCAACTACTGCTGCCAAGTCTGAGCGTATGAACTATTGTACCGGGAATGGACCTTTCTCCGCTGGAGAGAGATGCAAGTGGTTATATCTAGGACGATGTGATCTTGCAACTACTGAAAGAAACATAATGGATTATATGAACCAACCACTCGGTATTTCCGACGTGAAATGTTTTATTCTGGACAAAAACAAAGATATAGTATCATTTAAGACAGGGGTCAAGGAATCACTCTTGAAGGGCGTGCTGGAGCCCAATCCTTGGCCCGTTGGTACCTACGGCTGTTAGAGAATTTCAAACCCGTCGCGATTCCGAGTGTCTGGATTCGTCCTACACTGTTTACCGTAGGTACTGACCGAAGTGTCAATAATAGTACAGAAGGTCGTGGTGGTGATACAGCTGTTAGAATTTTATCAGAAATCCGAAAATGTAAAAAAAATTAGGGGTGTCTATTTGAGAAAATTAAGTTACTACCTGTCCAGCTTTTCTGCGACCACCCTGTATAATAATTTTATTTTCTAAAAAATGCTCGACAAAAAATAAAATTGACGTGTTTGAGGATTTTTAAAAACATTGCTTAGAAGAATAATTATTGAATTTATTCCTAACTTCACGGCCGCACTGTATGTGCCACCATCGATGAATATTTCATATTATTATGAACTTTGCTTGAAATCGGTATCTTCCGCTTGTGATATATTTGAAAATGTTTTAGTTGTAGGCGATTACAATTTGTCACAAATAACTAGGTGTCCGGAAGAAGATTATGCCGGGCAGTCGGGCTTGTGCCAGGTAATGTCAAATCGGCAAAAGAAATCTTGCTGTGCGATTATGTTGCGTTCTTGGGCTTATCTCAATTTAATTACATAGTGGACAAAAATAGCTAAGCTAGCTAATGTAGCTTTTTTCACGACTTCAATTCCGCTGATTTGTCCTATGATTGATTATCGATTTTAAACGATGATTTAGAGATTACCATAAGTAGCTTTCACGCTGCTACCTTAAACGGGTTTGATTTGTTTGTGCCTGTCCTGTAGAACTGTCGCTCTAACGACAGATTTCTTTTCTGGTTTTCAAGTGAATTGAAATCACTAATCTTTCAAAAAAAAAGCTCACAAAAGGTACAAGCAGTGAAATACGGTTGTGGATGACAGCAGATTTTCTCTGTCACGTAAACAATGTTCATCCCTCCCTGTCCAAGGAATGGTACAGTCTTTATAAAGAAAACATTGAAGATTTTATCAAGGAAAACGCCAGGTCCTTTTGGAGCTTTGTTCGTTCGCAGTCAAATCAAGGTTTCATTCCTAAAGAAATTTGTTTTGGCTCAAATAAAGCTGATAATGGTTGTGACATAGCCAACCTCTTTGCTCAATTTCTCTGTTCAGTTTATATCCCTCTATAGTCCCTATAAATATTTCTAACGAAAGTATTTTTTTGCACACACATCTTTCAGTCAATTTCAGATATTAAGATTACTGCATTTGACATCAAAAAATCGCTCTCTGAACTCGACATGAACAAGAGAGAGGGCCCTGATGGAATCTCAAACACTCCTCCTTCACTACTTAGGTCCCTTACCTTGGGTCCTTATTCTTGAAACAGGAGAGCAGCGCTCCCAGGAGAACGAGTGTTCTGTCTTTGTTACTTATATTGTCATTTGCATATCATTGAGAAAGACGGAACACCCTTTCTCCTAGGAACGCTGCTTTCCTGTTTCAAGAATAAGGACCCAGGGAATGTTTCCAAAAGTCTGGAAATTGTCATATGTTTGTCCCATCCATATAAATCAGGAAGCAAAAATAATGTGACTAATTACAGACCAATCAGTATTCTCTCAGCTATACTTAAGCTATTTGAACACTGTATTGAAAAAGTTTTGTCGTGTACCTTCCATCAAATTATAGCTAATCAGCAACATGCAACTTGTTCCTATTTAATAACTTTTTCAATAGATCATTTGAAAACGGTTGTGAGACACATTTCATTTATATACCCACTGACTTTAGTAAAGTCTTTGACAAGGTCAGTCATAGTCTCCTACTCTCAAAGTTGTCCGAATATGGCATTGGGGATACTCCGATCGATTTTTGCTTGGACTCCAGGATATTCTTCTCTTGAATATTTTATCCGAGTGGTGTAAGCTCAACGACATGGACATATCACTCAATATCGACAAATGCTGCTTTATGCGCTCCACTCGCCTGAGAATTTTTATACCCGCGGATTATTCCATATATATAATCTTGCTCACTGAGGTGTTTGTTGTTAAGGATTTTGGCGTTTGCTTGGACACCAAACTTATGATCATAGAGCACATCGAGTACATAATAGGTGGGGCTAATACAATATTGGGTCTTATTAAAAGAAGCAGCAAGGACTTTACGAATGCATTGATGATTTTATACCATGCACTTGAAAGGGCAAGTGTCCCAAGCAAGAAGTCTCCTTTTCCATTGAACAAACCATTAGAGCTTTAGATGTATGTACCTAAAGAAAACATTTCCACATTGTTATGCTATTCATGGTTGCATAAAAATAAATATATTGGTGAGTAATCAAACTTTAGCCGACCTAGGCAGTGTAGTGGTTAGTGTACCATTGAAGGTGTAATGATCCAGAAAAATAGTTCCGATATTACAATGTCTTTACTGTAAAAACTAAATATAATCAAATAATCAAAGACTGAATTTCCGGTATTTCCAAATCAGTATTGATAAATTGAAAATGGAACAGATTACCGTGACCCCAAATACATTCGAAATTATATTATTTCGTCCAGCGTGTTGTCATCTCCTAAATCATATGTCAATGAACTTTTTTAAGCGAGGCCATCGTACCTAATTAAAGCGATGATTTATGGCATTCTTGAACCAAAAATATCCGTGACCCCGATAAAATCAGGAAATTGCGACATAAAACAAATAAAAATGACAAAAATTTCAAGAAGATTGCATCATCCTAATTGTTATGGCCAAAGAAATTTTGGGGGGATCGAACAATATAAATACCGCGGTTTCAGCTGAGATCATCAGAGAGTGGTCAGATGAGTTCGCAGTCCTGTCCAGTTTGAGTTAAAATTTACAGTACCTAATGTGTCAGTCCGAGAAAATATTCGCGGAAAGTTTCTTGTATTGCCTCGGTAACAGTCTTTGAAAAAGTAACGGAAAATTTTGAAAGAAAGAACAATTAGATTCGTCAACATTTATGCGCGTGCTAGCTAAAAATTTTGAGTAATTAATTAAGTAATTTTACGTGTGAAAATTTAAATGTCAGTACTTTAGTGGTTAATAATTTTCTGACTTTATCAATGATTCTGAATGATAAGAAGTGAATTAACAATGACTTTTAATGCCTAAAAACTTGAGTGATTTTTACTAGTTTGTTTCTCTCTTTTGCGAATAGACCCTTCCACAATTTTATAGGTAGCAGCTCCAAGGAAATAAACACCATCAATATACCGCTCGCCATTTACCATCTAACCAATTAAATAGAGTACTTGGGGCGTTTTGCTACAAAGGTCTTGCAGTCTTGTATACGTCACTGTTTCGATCCAAACATAGCTTGGTCACCATATC